CGGGAGCGCCGCCGTGCTTCCCAAGCAGCGCACTATCCAGTGCGCCACCGGGCCGGCCCTTGTTTGTTTTTTTAACAACCATTTAAAAATGTAAAAACTTTTCTTAGCTTGTAGGGCCATTAAAAAGCAGGGGTGAGATTTGGCTTGTGGACGATAGTTTGCTAAATCCTTCTTTAGACTCTAATCTCTGGGGAGATTCTACATTGATGCATAATGTTTTTTTTTTTTATATTTCTTTTCTTATGCCTAACCTGAAGCTGATACAAAATCTTTAGTATTATACAGGTTGAGTATCCCTTAACCAAAATGCTTGAGACCAGAAGCGTTGCGGATTTCAAGTTTTTTTGCATTTTGGAATATTTGCAGAAATGCATACTGGTTGAGCATCCCTAATCTGAAATCTGAAATGCTCCAATGAGCATTTCTGTTGAGTATCATGTTAGTGCTTAAAAAGTCGTATTTTCGTATTTTGGAGTATTTTCAGATTTTTGGGTTAGGGATGCTCAACCTGCATATCATTTTTGTTGTGCTTGTTTTCTGCTTTTTCTTCAATTCTGTCAGTTCTTTTCAGATCATACTTTGTCATTTAACACTTTAGGTTTTACCAAGTTGCACTGCCTTTTTATATAGCTCAGTGACTAATTGAGCTTCTAAGGATAAGGACTCTAGTTAAAATTAAGTTTGGCAATACTGAATTTTTAACCTAAACCTATTATTTCTAATCACCAACATTGTTTATGAGTAGGCTGTAGATTTTTTCAATGACCGAATGTGACTCAAAACTTTGTTGTATTTTTAGGATCTGGAAGGGGAAAGATAATAGGATTGAGATATATCAGTGAATAGGGACTGCTGTCCCAGTTTCTTGGGCCCTTTGGTGGNTAGGATTGAGATATATCAGTGAATAGGGACTGCTGTCCCAGTTTCTTGGGCCCTTTGGTGGGTATTCATCCTACAAACGTCTTATGAAATAGACGCAAAAACTACTACTATTTCACATTATATATATTTGAAACACAGTGTTTGAAAATTTGGCATTCTGAGCTTGTGTGGCTCCAGATATTAAAGTATTTAATTTTATTGTTATGGAAAATTTTACATTTAAAGACTAAGTAAACTGTCAATTATAAGGTTATTAGTAAGTAAAGAATGTGAGGTGACAGCAATAGGTAAGGAAAAGTCTTAGGTCTGTTTTACGTGCTGTGTAGGGCACTGTACTTTGCACCCAATTCCTGCTCTTTTGTTAATATTAAAAAAAAAACGGGTTTTCAATCTATAGTCTACAGGAGTTCTTTCAAGTAGTTAATTAAGGGAATAGGCTAAAATAATAAGATGTCAACCAGATGTTCAAATCTTTATTAAAGAGCCGCTTCTTTAGATATAAGTAAATATCCATCCTTTTTTTTTTGACTGGTGAGATAGTTTTTATTATAGACAATTTGGAGGATGCAGTACTTTAAAAGATAATCAAGAGATCATTGTTTACTGTGGTAGTCTTTCATACTGCTTAAAATTGAAAGCCAAAGAAAGAAATACAGTTAATATAGCATCTAGTACAAAAAAAAAAAGATGAGCAGGAGACAAATATCTCCTTAATTATCTGCAGCAAAGTCATAGCCTTTATTAACATTTGGTGGTATTTACCACCAGTTTTTTAATATGTGTACAGATACATTTATAAAAATATGTACACTGTTTTATTGGTGTCATGTTACATTTGTATCTTTTTATTTTCCTTACACTGTAAACGTTTTTCAAACATTTTACTAAGAACATAATTTTTAATGACCATTCTCTCTCTTTCTCTCTCTCAAATGATAGAATGGTCTATACAGTAATTTATGAACTAACTGCACTTAGTACTCCAGCCCATGTGTGGCACAATAAGAACTAGTGTCTTCGAGTTTATACATTAACACCCGTTGTCAGCCCTGCCTCTAATTCCGTGGCTTCACACTGTACCGTCCCCTTTTTATTTTTTGAGGCCTGTTTTGCAAGAGTGTGTGAAATCCTAGGCATAAGTATTACTCTAAAGTCAGAGGTAAATCAGATTTTCATTTCAAGAGTTTGTCAAAGTTACCCACCCCATTGTTTTACTCAGTCTTATAGTTGCACAGTCTCTTTAAGATCTCTTTCTCTCTTTTTTTAATAGAGGCCCCTCAGAACTTGCAGATGAAACATTTGTACTCTTTCTAGTTGTAGTATTCATCCAGCTGTTAGATATTGTTCCCAGGTTTTTCAGATGTGGATGAGGGCATTAGAATTCTGAGTATTAGCCATTCTCTTATCTATTCCTTTGTAAAATAGATGCATGACAATTATCTGTAAATTGATTTTTCTTGTCATCTCAATCACATTGAATAGTAGAATTGGTATAGCTAATCCATTTTTATAATTATTTTTTTAATAGATAATTTTTTGTTACTAATATGTACACTTGCATTGTTGAATCTGTGTATGACACCTTTTTAACGACCTTTTTTTTTGGTGGTAAAATATACATAGCGTAAAATTTACCATTGTAGTCGGATTTTTTTGTTTTTTGTTTTTGGCAGCTTGCTGGTATGGGGATCTGACCCTTGACCATGGTATTATATAACACCTTACTCTAACCAGTTGTGCTAACTGGCCAGTCTTGAAGCCATTTTTAAAGTGTACAATTCAGTGGCATTAAGTAAATTCACAGTGTTGTGTAACCACCAGTGTTGTGTAACCATTAGCAGTGTTTTCAGAACTTTTTTCAACATTCCAAACTGGAATTCTGTACCTATTAAACAATAACTCTCCAACCCTCTCTCCCCTAGCCCCTGGTAACCCCTGTTCTACTTTTTGTCTCTATGAATTTGCCTATTCTAGGTACCTTACGTAAGTGGAATCATGTAATATTTGTCCTTTTGTTTCTGGTTTATTTAACTTAGCATAATGTTTTTAAGATTCATCTGTGTTGCAACATGTATCAGAATTTCTTTCCTTTTTTTTTTTCTTTTTGTGGCAGCTGGCTGGTACATAGTCTGAACTTTGGACCTTGGTGTTATCAGCACCATGCTCTAACTCACTGAGCTAACCAGCCAGCCCTCATTCCTTTTTATGACTGAGTAATATTCCATTGTATGTATAAAGTCTTACATTTTGTTTATTCATTCATCTCTTAATGGACACTTAAGTTATTTCTACATTTTGGCTATTGTAAATAATGCTGCTATGAATATGTGTATAGAAGTGTCTGAATCCCTGCTTTCAATTCTTTTGGTTATATACCTAGGAATGGAATTACTGGGTCATATGGTGATGCTACCTATAACTTCTTGAGGAACTGCCAAACTGTTTTTCACAATGGCTGTGCCATTTTACATTCCCACCAGTAATGCACAAGGATTCCAGTTTCTCTACATTCTTGCTAACACTTGTTATTTGCCATTTTTTGTTTGGGGTTTTTAAAATTTTTTTTATATATAATAGCCATCCTAATGGGTGCAAGGTGGTATCTTGTGGTTTTAATTTGCATTTTTCCTAATGATTGTTGATGTTGAGCATCTTTTCATGTACTTATTGGCCATTGTCTATCTTCTTTGGAGACATATCTATTCAAATCCTTTGCCCATTTTTGAATTGGGTTGTTTGTCTTTTTGTTGAGTTGTATAACACCTTTTTAAAAGTAAAAGGTGCACTATAATAATCCAGACTGTGTTTCTCCCTTCTTAGGATTCCTACAGGAAACAAGTAGTAATTGATGGAGAAACCTGTCTCTTGGATATTCTCGACACAGCAGGTCAAGAGGAGTACAGTGCAATGAGGGACCAGTACATGAGGACTGGGGAGGGCTTTCTTTGTGTATTTGCCATAAATAATACTAAATCATTTGAAGATATTCACCATTATAGGTGGGTTTAAGTTGAATATAATAAATTGACATTGAGGAGTTATTGTAACTTTCATTTATTTAGTCTTTGCTAACCGCCATACATATATTATCTAATTTAAATTTTAAAGTAATTTTGGTGAGATAGGTAATATCCCCATTTTACAAATGAAGTTTTTGAGGATTAGAGCAGTCGAGATACTTGTTCCACATTGCATAGTGGTGCTAGATTGAAACCTAGGCCTGTTTGACTCCAAAACCTGTACTCTTAACTACTCTACACTAGAGAAAACAAGACTTTAAACTTTTTAGATACATCATAAAAATGAAAACCATAAACAAAAATGTGAAAAGGTGATTTGAGATGGTACCACTCAATATCTTTTTCAAAAATCACATATGTTTAATTTATTACTATTATTATTATTATTATTTTATTTTATTTATTTTTTTGGTGGCTGGCCTGTATGGGGATGCAAACCCTTGACCTTGGTGTTAAACACCGTGCTCTAACCAGCTGAGCTAATTTGGCCAGCCCTGGATCACATACATTTAGTGTAGAATTTCTTGGATTGGATAAACAATGGCCTTAATATATTAAAACAAAAAACCCAAAAAACTCTGAAATTGTAAAAGATTGAAGAATTAGAGTAATTACATTTTTATTTTTAAAGAATCTGACAAGTCTGTGTACTTTATTATTATTTTTTTTTCCTTTTTTTGTCTTTTTTCGTGACTAGTAACGGGATCACAACCCTCAGTGTCGCGCCCGTACCGTGCCCATACCGCAACCGCAACGGGATCGCAACCCTCAGTGTCGCGCCCGCACTGCGCTCAACCAGTGAGCGGACCGGTCTCTATATGGGATCCAAACCCTTGGCGGGAGCGCCACCGCGCTCTCAAGCGCCGCACTCTACCGAGTGCGCCACCGGGCCGGCCCAAGTCTGTGTACTTTAAAAATAAATAAATTTAAAAAATAAATTTGCCTACTTTAAAACTATTATTGTATAAAATATTGTATTATTATTGTATAAAATATTTTTTAATATTTTATAAAATATAAAACATTATTATATAAAATATATTTTATATTCTGTTTCTTTGAGGGTTTACAGTTTTTATAAAACTGCATATTAAGCAAATATTCCACTTACTGGCTCTGCATGTGAGTTTGCCTAGTTAAAAGGTTTAACATTTTATTTAAGAACATTTACTACAACATGTTTATTCTGTAGTCTAGTAGTAGAGAAAAAAAAGTTTGGGTGGGTGGTAGTGGTAGTATTTTTATAGAGTAATAAATATGTGGAATTTGTTAACTTATCCAAGTTTACCCTGCTAATAAGTAGAGGAACTGGGCATTTGAACAAGTTCTGTTGTCTCCTGTGTACCTTCTTCCATGTTACATCTTTGCAATTCACCTAAAATTGTGAAGGAATATAATTGTGCCACAAGTTTAAAGTTTATGCACATCTTATACTGAAATTAGCAACACATAGAAGGGCTTTTAGCAGAATAAATAGTGCATGCAGTGACTTCAGTGTTCACAGAAATCCTTGCCACTTGTCACTCTTTTTTGAGAAAGTAATGTGAAAGTTATGTTAATGCTGAAATTCATTTTTTATGAAAATATTTTTAATTCTATACATATACATTTAATCATATATAATATCTGAGATTAACCACATATCATTTATAAGATAGTTTTTTAAAATTTGGCAAAGCACTTTTGGTTCAGAACTTTTTAGTATCTTCTGTTTTATCATTGTGATCTCCCTAGTTTTAGTATACTTCTAAGTATTTGATCTTTTAAGATATATATAAGGTCTCTAAGATGGAGAAAAAAAATAACTAGAAGGAGAAGCAAGGAAAATTTGGTATGGGTGGGAACTAGGAATTACATTAAAGTTTTCTTTCAGCCAAATTTTACAAGACAAAATTGTAGACAGTTTTTGAAATATATTTGTGTTACTAATGCTTCTGCTGTAACTTTTTTTTCTTCCCCAGAGAACAAATTAAAAGAGTTAAAGACTCTGAAGATGTACCTATGGTCCTAGTAGGGAATAAATGTGATTTGCCTTCTAGAACAGTAGACACAAAACAGGCTCAGGACTTAGCAAGAAGTTACGGAATTCCTTTTATTGAAACATCAGCAAAGACAAGACAGGTAAGTAAAACTGGAATAAAAACGTATTTTCTGCAAAATATATCAAATGATTTAATCATTAATCATAATTTACTAATATATATTCCAATAATATTATTTTGGGAACAGGAGGGCAAGGACATTAATAAACTTAAATACCTGATTGCATAACTGTTATTATATCATTTAATGTGATTTATCAAATTTTCTGTCCATTATGCTAAAATAGGAAATAAAACAATGTTCATTTAGTAGGTATTCTCTTAAGAGTGAAGTGCTTCGGGGCCGGCCCGGTGGCACACTGCTATAGTGCGCCACTTGGGAAGTGCGGTGGCGCTCCCGCCGAGGGTTCGGATCCCACATACAGACCGGCCGCTCACTGGCTGAGCGAGGTGCGGGAGCAACACCGAGGGTTGCGATCCCGTTGCCAGTCCCGGTCCAGTGCGGGCACGACACTGAGGGTTGCGATCCATTGCTGGGCACGAAAAAAGACAAAAAGGAAAAAAAAAAAAAAAGGAGTGAAGTGCTTCTTACTTAATCCATTGTCCATGATATTACTTTTGGCTTTGGTTTCTATCTACCTTGAAAATTTCTTGGAGCACATCTTAAATTTAAGATTTAAGAATTGTAGGAATATTTTTACTGTTATATACATAAAGACAACAGGGGAACAAATTTTGAGTTTCCTATTTTAGAATGGCTTTTAAGAGTATTATGTCATGTTTCTAGATTAAATTTTGTTGTATTTGAAGAATTTTACTTTGGCAGAATTTTGAGGGGAGATGTATTTACTTTTGGAGAAAGTTTTCATTAAAGCAAGAGGATATTTAGAAAGTAAATAAGATTCTGGGCCGACCCCGTGGCTCACTCGGGAAAGTGCGGTGCTGGGAGCACCGAGGCCGTAGGTTCGGATCCTATAAAGGGATGGCTGGTGCGCTCACTGGCTGGGCATGGTGTGGGCGACACCAAGCCAAAGGGTTATGATCCCCTTACTGGTCACAAAAAAAAAAAAGCAAATAAGATTCTTCAGTTATTCACTTACTGCTTTGTTCTGACAAAAATTAATGCCAGATGGAACCTGAATTTTACTTCAAAAATTATCTTAATTTTAAAAATAACTATTTCTCTAGGTAAAATAATTTCAGTTGATATTATTTAAATTAATTGTATGAAATAACAGTTTAACATATAGAAAAAAATCCTAGAAAGGAATACATAGAGACATGGTAGGATATAATTTTCATGTGGTACGAAATTGATCAGTTTATGTTCCATAGTACGTTTGTTTTGAGCTTTTTCTGGTTATGTGTACCTGTGAGCCCATAAAACCGATTTTGTAGAATTTAACTTATGTAATGCTAGGAGTTAAAAAAACTTATGAGTGAACAACCTATTACATGGTTAAATTTATAAAAACAGGCATTTTGAAAGTTTTACTGAATTTTGCAAAGGAATAAATATTTAAATGTGTAAGTCATTATTCAACTAGTATATATGTCTTACTTCCCTAGTGGGAGATCAAAAGTACCTCTAGCTGCTTTGTAGACTAGTGAACATTTTAGTTTTCATTGTAAAAATTTGGTACACAATAAAAACAAAAAACAAAAAAACCCCACAATGAATTCTATTTGAAGTCTTTGCTTTGTTTTGGGATTAAAAACAATTTCTGTAGTTTCACTCTCAGATAAGTATCTCTTTTGCAGTTAATTTTACTAAAATGTGATTTATAGGCTAAAGAAAGACTTGCTATGCATCACTTCACTTTAATTCAGAGGAATTAAGATTTCATTCAAATTCATTTCCAGGTTCCAAAGACTAGGAAGAGGTTTGGTTTTTGTCTTTTTTCTACTGGTCATCTCTGACCAGTCTCCTTTATTTTTCTTAAAACAGAAGGTACTCAGAAAACATTATTGTAATGTGTATTTTTCTCAACATTTTACTGTGGAAATTTTCCAAATATAAAATTAAAAGAATTTTATTGAAAACATTTGCTACTACCTAGATTGTACCCTTAACATTTCATTATACTTGCTTAAGAAGAAAATTGAGATTTTGCCTAATGTTGTGAAGGATTGCAGTAGAGAAATGCTTCTTATACTTTAATGTGAATACAAATCAACTGGGCTTATTAAAGTCCAAACTCTAATTCAGTGGGTTTAGGTTGGGACCTGTGATTCTGCATTTCTGACAAGTTCCCAGGTGATGCTAGTTTTGGTACACAGACCACATTTAGAGTAGAAAGGCAAGAGGACAGTAAAAGGAGTCTTGTTATTCCCACAGTGTTGTTCTCTACTTCTCATTTGATTAAGGGCCTACAATAGCTGTCTTGCCTTTCTTTGTTGTATGATTACTGCCTCAGAAGTACTAATTGATTCCTCTTGCTTGACGTTAATGTTTTAATATACCACAGCATTCAAAATTGATTGGAAAACTACCTGGCTTCCTTTTAAAATGGATTTTTAGGTTTTATACTATTTTGTGGCCTTGTTTTTTTTCTTTTTGAAGTGAACTTAAATTTGTAGACGTTTATGTGGATCATCCAATGACAATACAGAGGGATACAATATAAAAAAATACTGGTACTTCATCACCTAGTGCTCAGTTTTTCTCATATGAGGGTACTTCAAAAAGTTTATGGAAAAATTTCTGTTATCTTTCAACTCTATTTTTCTGCAAACTTTTTGAAGTGCCCTTTGTTTATATTCTGTTTTATTGTTTTTTTTTTTTTTTTTTTTTTACTTTAGCCTTTTATTTTATGGAGGCCACATCTTCCAGGGCCTCTTTATTCCTGTCTAAAAGGGTGGGGATTCCTTTTATTGATTTTTTTTAATGCAATTTCTGTTGTTAAACTTAGACATTTAATTTCTGTTCTTGATTCCTTTTTATTAAGGGACTTGTTGATTTGCTTAGAAATTAATTTGCCTTTGAAAAGTTTACTCATTTTCTTCTTTTTAAATTAATTTGATTTTTGCATGCTTTTGGAAGACTTTAGAGAGCTATTTTGAGTAATTGTAAAGATTTTGAAATGAAATATGTAAGTTTTAATAAGTTTAATAATAAGTGTAATAAGTTTTATATCTCCAATTTTTGTTATTCATCTGTTATTCAGTTTATGTATTTGTTATTTGAACAAGTAAATGTGCATATCCTTGTTACATTTTATCAGCAACTTGTTTTATGCTCTAAGTTTTGGTCTTGATTATGAGCCTAAAACACAAACACCCAAAAGAATTATATTTAGATTAGTAGGAACAGAAGTTCTTATAGATATGTGTAAGTTGCGGGCTGGTGAACTTTTTCTGTAAAGGGCCAGATAGTATTTTAGGTTTTGAGGGTGACCAGTGGTATTTGTTGCACATGTTTTTAATAGCCCTTTAAAAATGCAAAAATTATTGTCAGTTTGTGCATAGTACAAATATAGACTGTGGCTGCATTTGGCCTATATATGGGTTGCAGTATACTGAGCCCTGATTCTCTGGGTAACTTTAATGTTTGATTAGACACTAGAAGTTAGTTCGGACTTTCAACTTAAATTTTACAGCCTAATCTTAGTAATTTTAAAGTAAAACATGTGTTTTGTGAAAGAGAAATAGAAATTTCATTCTAGTACTTTTTAAGATAAGGATTGCAGAATGGTATATATTTTTACCAACTTAATTATTTTGTAGTTTTAAAAAGCCTGTTACCTGGCTATAATATAATGCATTTGTGTTCTTAATGATCTGTTCAATCTACATCCGAAAGGCAAAGAGTTATTTTCTGTTAGTGTGCTGTATGTGGTCCCTATGTTTATAGTGTAAGGACTGCTACCTAGTTCACATTTATCTGTTAGTAATTGACAGATTTTTCTGGTCCCTTTGGGCAGTCCATGGCTATTGTTGGCAAAGCCTGTTGAAAATGAAAGATTGACACCATGGGAATCAGCTTTGTGTTTTCCAGTCTGTTAGCATCAATAGTGGGGAGGATTCAGTAAAGTGGATGGCAAAAGCAGAGTACTGAGTATCTGCTACTTTTGATTCAGCTTTTTTGCTTTCTGGAGATCCCAACGTGAACATAATGCAAAAATTAGTTTTACAGATTTAAAAACATTGTTATTAATTTCCTGGTTTTGTTGTTAATCTCTAGATATTTAAAATTAGTTGTTAGAAGAACTCCATTAAAGAAAGCTTCTCATGAAATTATTGTAACAAAACAAACAAAAAACTTCCTATGTGCCATATCTCTCTAATAGTAGTTGAGTTTGTGTACATGAGATTAATATTTTAACTTTAGCTTTTTATGATTAAAAGTGGACAAAACAATTACCAAGTAGTGGTATTGCTGCATTTCAGTTCTCTCTAATAGTAGTTGAGTTTGTGTACATGAGATTAATATTTTAACTTTAGCTTTTTATGGTTAAAAGTGGACAAAACAATTACCAAGTAGTGGTATTGCTGCATTTCAGTAGTACCTGAGATGGGCTATAGTTTGGCAAGTTTTCTTAAGAAAGTCAGGGACGCAGAGTTGGTTTTTAGAATGCATATTGTTCTACATTCCCTTCCTCCAAGAAGGTTGATATTGCATCTGTATATAGTTAGGATATTTAATATATTATTTCCTTGAAAGAGTTGTGCAAGAATTTTGCAGATTAAACATGAACAAATACTTGGTTAAGATGAAATATCTTAGTGAAAGCATAAACACCAAGATATAGATTAATACTATTTGTTAACAGTTCTTTCACCAGTAAAAGTGGTGAAAGTAAAAGTGGGAGTGCTCTGTATCCATAGTCTTACAAACATGTTTTCAGATAACAGTTGAGTTGAAAATATTGTCAAATCTCTTGACTTTAAAATAATTTACATATTTATACTTATACAATTTTGTACAATTTTCTTTCATAAATATTTTCAGTTCTTAGAGTTTAATAAGTGACATTTGAAAATGAGTATATGTGACAACAAGCCATATATTCTCAAGAATAAATTATTGAATGCCAGTTAAGAGCTTAGAGAGTAGGCACAGTGGGTATTAAATATCTG